ATCATCATCATCATCGCCACCATCACCATCACCATAACCATCACGTTAACTAGCATCATCATCATCAGCAGCATCATCATCAGCATCATCAGCATCACCAACATCATCATCATCATCATCATCATCATCATCATCATCATCATCATCATCGTCATCAGCAGCAGCAGCAGGGGTATCAGCATCACCATCATCATCATTATCAAAATCAACAACCGCCGCCGCCGCGTCCGCCTCCGCCTCCGCCCCCGCCTCCGTCCCCGCCTCGGTTTCCGTGTCCGTGTCCGTCTCCGCTTCCGCCGTCTCCGCATTCGCATCCGAACTCTCCGTTCGCCTCCGTCTCCGCCTCCGCCTCCGCCTCCGCTTCCGTCCCGTGGCATTATCGTTTTCATCCGTGCCTTCCTCCTCTTCATCCTCCTCCTCCTTCTCCTCGTCCTCCTCCTCCTCCGCCTCGCCTCCTCCTCCTCCCCCTCATCATCATCATCATCATCATCATCATCATCATCATCATCATCATCATCATCATCATCATCATCATCATCATCATCATCGTCATACTCATCATCAGCAGCATAATCCTCCTCATGTTCCTCCTCCTCCTCCTCCTCTTCCTCCTCCTCCTCCTCCTCGGCCTCACCCCCCCTCTTCCTCCTCATCCCCCGAGTTCCCGTCGTCTTCGTATTATCCGAAGTGTGAGTATGAGTAACTCGTAATATTCGTCGGAGTTGTATTACTGTTTGTTAAGCGTGCAACTTTCTTAATACTGGGAATAAGTATTCGTATTATTATTAAGAATTCTCTTTTGATCAATGACCGCACCATAACTATTACCAATAATAAAATTAATACTATTATGGTTGTTCTTAGTTTTCTTCACATGTTGTTATGATTCGTAGTAGTAACCTCCTTAGTGGTATTATCATTTATTTCACAATTATATGATTACTATAAAAATTATTCGTACTGCTTTTATTTTGCCACTCCTGGAAAACCTCACTAGTCCTACGAGTAGTATATAACTGTTTATGCTGTTTCGTCTCAGCATCCTTAGTACAACTCTTTGAGTATGATTACTATGAAACGCAGTCTTCGGATTACTCTTCGTAGCAGCCTTATTAGTGGTCTTTGGCTGCTTAATAGTATTCTCATAATGATGCAATGCAGTACATATGATGCAAACGATGCAGTGCCGGGAAATGACTGCGTGCAATCTATTACCCGTGCAACATGCGCGCAAAACCACCTCCAATGCTCGTGCAAACTTCCCACCCTCCCACCCGCAACGTGTTGGCCAAACTACCCTGGTCAGCATCGCAACGAATGCACGGGCGCATGGTGATAAACCGCACAAACACGTCCATCCTGCAAGTCGAAAAACACTGGTGATGATTTCGACGACCGCGACGCCAACGACGATGGCGGTGACAGCGGTGATGATGGTGATAACACTGGTGATGGGGACAGTCGGCGACGACGAAGACGACGATGATGACGAAAATGAAGATGACCTTGACGAAAACAACTGTGGCAACGATGGTAATGGTGATGGTGGTGATGATTATGGTGACGATGGCAATGATGCTGCTGGTGATGATGATGCTGATAATGACGATGATGATGATGCCGATGTTGATGTTGTGGATGATGCGACAAGCTGGCGATGGCAATGATGACGCTGAAAATGTGTTACATATACAGGCATGTGAAAGCACATGCATGTATGGATTAAGATTATGCTGATGAGGATGGCCGCCCCGCACGTCCTTCGGCTTGGAGTTGAATTGGCTGGTCAAGCGCTTGAACGCTGTCCCGATTTCCTGCGGCCGGCGCCGACCCGCCGACCGCGCGCATACGACTCCTCCATGCTGCCCAGCCGCGTCCTCCTCCTCCCCCCACCATCCTTCAGCCTCCCCCTATTGAAAAAATGGTGGGAGCCTTAAACTGAGAAAGCCAAACGGCATTTCGGCCAAACAATTGCGGCCCACAAATAATGTGAACCACTGAAATATCCAAACAGCGATGCCCACCCAGTCGCATGGCCATGTTCTAACACCCCCCTCGGCCACGGTGGCCGACGAGTGCGACGGGTGGAGAAATCATCGAACTGCGCAACGGAAAATTCGAAACGTCAGAGCCAAGAATCCATCCTAGCCAATCACGGTGTGAAACTAAAGTATTTGAAAAACGAAGTTGGTGCAAACTTGACCGGTCAAGAACGGGAAACGCCGCTGTTGTCCACCAAGCGTGTCAGAGAACGCATGGTGGAGAAAGTCAACGAAACCCAGAAACGCAACACAACAAATTAAGACATCTGCTGTCGGTTCGTTGCGATGGCCTGCCGCACTAGTCTGCCCTACTGGTGAGTCGAACTAATCTGCCGCCCTGGGCACATATGGACTCCGCGGGCCGTCGAAGGTTCTTGGGGCTCTCTTGGGCTCTCTGGAGCCCTCTGAAAAAACCTTGTGGAAGCATGGTGGGAGCCCGTTGTGAGCCTTTGGGGGGGCCTGTTGGGGGCTTCTGTGGCCTCTCGGACTGTCTAAACGCGTCTCGAAGGTCTGTGGGGGCTCTCCCGGGCTGCCTTGGCATTTTCTTGGACTGTCTTGGGGCTCTCTTGGGCAGTCCCAGGGATTCTTCGGGTGTTCTTGGAGGCCTCCGGGCGCCGCTTGACGGTTTGTTGGGGGTGTCTTGGGGCGTTTTGACGGCCCCCTGGGAGGCCTTCGGGGGCTCTCTTGATAGAGAACCTGATCGGACAAGAACGGGAAGCGCCGCTTTAGTCTAATGGGCGTATTGGGCGAAGAAGAAAAGGAAGGCGAGGGCAACGAGAAGTCGATGACGAGGACGACGTGGCGAACGTGAGGATAGCGAGGAGGAGCATGGGGACAACGAGGACGAAGAGAACGAGGGCGAGCACGAGGAGGAATGCAGAGGGCGATGACGACGGCGACGACGACGACGACGACGACAACGACGACGACAGAGGACAATAAGAGGCAATTGGAGAAAGACGTTGCTCCTGGCGCCGCGCGGGGTCGTCTTGGGGCCTGTTGGGGGCTTCTTGGAGGCCCCTTGGGACCTCTTATGGGTTTTTGGTGTATTTTTGGGTTGTCTGGGCGCGTCGTGGGGCTCTGCGGGAGTTTTCTTAGGCCGTCTCGGCGCCATATTGGGCCGTCATACGATTTTCTTGGGCCGTTCGGGAACCTCCCGGGGCGCCCCCGGGAGTTTCTTGGGGCCTTCTTTTCCATTATCGGGCCGTCTTGGGGTTTTTGTGAGCTGTCTGGGTGGCTCCTAGAGCGCTCTTGGGCAGTCTCGGGGCCTCTTCGCGCTCGGGGCGCTTTCGGGGTCCCCTAGGGGGCCTTCGGGGGCGCTCTGGGGCCCTTTTGAAGGCCTCCGGTAGCGATTCCAAGATAATGCTAGTTCGGACTCCCCTCCGGAGGCGATTTTTGGGATGTCTCGAGCGAAACGGCCGTTTTCCCGGAACCCGCCAACGTATCAACATTCACAATCGGGAGTCAGTTGTCCCTCACGAGTTCGTTCTTTACTTATACCTCATTTAGAGATGCTAGAAAACTCCCATCACCTTCTCGTGCCTAGAAGGCGCTCCCCGTCAAAAGAGTTTCAGAAAAACGGTCCACGCCAGAGGCGTTTTTTTCTTTTTGAAAACGCAACCCCACTCTAAGCGGCCTCGCGAGCTCCCACATAGCCAGCCACAAGACCGACTAGCGCGCATGCGCATCCGCAAACGTCACACACGAGGCTACCACCCACTGGTGGAAGGCCCGCACAACAGAACACGGCCCTCTGGCCGAGCGCTGGTGGCAGGCCGTGGATTCAAACGGTGCAACGCGCAGCGTGCACGGCAAGCATAATACAGTGCCACAAGAGCCACCCTTTACCAGCAGATGCAAAGTCGCCAACACTCGACATGGAACGCGGAGAGGCGGCAGACAGCAGAGGGGCTGGGGCCAGGTCCAAGGGGGGAGGCTGGCGCCAGGCCAGGACCAGGACCAGGGGGACGACGACGACCGAAAAAAAAGGTTCCGGCGCCTGGGTCCAGGGCCAGGGCCAAGGGTACGACGACGAGCGAAAATGAAGGGTCCACGGCGAGGCGGGCTGGAGCCAGGGCCAAGGGAGGACGCCGGGTGCAAGGACAGGACGAGGGGGGCGACGCGGAAGGGGGCTGGGGCTAGGACCAGGGTGGGAGGCTGGGTCGAGGGCCAGGACCAGGGGGACGACGACGAGCGAAAATAAAGGGTCTGGCGCGAGGGGGACTGGGGCCAGGGCCAGGTGAGGAGGCTGGGTACAGGGCCAGGGCCAGGGGAGCGAGGGGGGCTAGGGCCAAAACCAGGGGGAAAGGTTGGGTCCAGTGCCAGAAACAGGGGGACGTCGACGAGGGAGGCTGGGGCCGTGACCAAGGGGGGACGCTGGGTCTAAGGCCGGGACCAGGGGGACGACGACGAGCGAAAATATTACAGGGTCCGACGCGAGGAGGGATGGGGCCAGGGCCGGGAGAGGAGGCTGGATCCAGGGCCAGGGCCAGCGAGGCGAGGGGGCTAGAGCCGAAACCAGGAGAGGGGTTGGGTCCAGTGCCAGGACCAGGGGGGCGACGACGAACTGTACAAGATAATAAAATGGCCGCGGCGGAGAAGGCGCTATGGCTGGTGTGTGGGGGGGGATGCGGAGGGGGCGCGCGAGAGGGGGCGGGGGGGCGGTGCCGTGCCGAAATAAAAAAGTCGGGGCGGAGGGGGCGCGCTGGCCGTGCCGTGCCGAAATGAGAGGGTCGGGGCGGACGGTGCGCGCTGGCTGGTGAGTGGGGCAATGCAGAGGGGGCGCTCGGGACGGGGGGGGCGGTGCCGTGCCGAAATAGAAAAGTCGGGGCGGAGGGGGCGTGCTGGCTGGTGGCAGGGGCAACGCGGGGGGGGGGCGTGCGGGATGGGGGGAGGGCGTGCCGGAATGAAAAGTCGGGGCGGGAGGAGCGCGCTGGCTGGTGGGCGGGGCGGGCCGGGTGATGCGGAGGTGGCGAGCAGGATGGGGGGGGCGGTACCGTGCCGAAACAAAGTGGTCGGAGCTCTAGACATCCTGTGCAGGAGAATGAAAGAGTCGAGGCGGAGGGGCTGGCTGCGCAGGGGGTGCGGAGGAGGGCGGTGCCATGCCGAAATAAAGAAGGCAGGGCGGCGGGAGCGCGCTGGCAAGTGGAGCAGTGCCGTGCCGAAATAAAGCGGACGGGGCGGAGGAGGCGCGCTGGCTGGCGGGACCGGTGCCGTGCCGAAATCAAGCGATCGGGACGGGGGGGGCGCGCTGGCTGGTGGGACCGGTGCCGTGCCGAAATAAAGCGGTCGGGGCGGAGGGGGCGCGCTGAGATCGAGGTGGAGGGGCTGGAGCGGGGGGCGCGGGGGGGGGGCGGTGCCGTGCCGAAATAAAGAAGGCGGGGCGGAGGGGGGCGCGCTGGCTGGTGGAGGAGAGGGGGCGGTGCCGTGCCGAGATAAAACGGTCGGGGCGCAGGGGGCGTTCTGGCTGGTGGGACCGGTGCCGTGCCGAGATAAAGCGGTCGGGGCGGAGGGGGCACGCTGTGGTCGAGGCGGGAGGGTTGAGGAGTTATCGCAAATTTGGTTTAGCCTTCCTGCCATTCCGCCTGTATGCCGAACTTCAAGGACCGAGGTGCATGGCGCGACGCCTCGATGCTGTATTGTATATATATATATATATATATATATATAAATGTGTGTATATGTATATGTGTACATATACATATATATATATATATATACCTGTGTGTGCGTGGATATATTCATGTACATAGGTATGGAAGTTGATGTGCATATGTATGTATGCATGCATGTATGTATGAATGTGTGGGTTGATGTATGCATATGTGTATGTATGTATGAATGCATGCATGCATGCATGCATGCATGCATGTATGTATGTATGCATGTATGTATGATTGTACGTGTGTATACATGTATATATGTACGTGTGTATGTGCATGTACATATGTATGTATGTATGTGTACACATGCGTGTATGTAGGGTTGTACGTATGCGTGTATGGGAGGTTGTTTGTCTGTTTGGTTGTGTGTATGTATGTATATATGTATGTACGCATGCATGCATACATGCATGTACGTATGTATGCATGTAAGTATGTATGTATGTGTGTATGCATGCATGTGTGTATGCATGCATGTATGTATGTATGCATGTATGTTTCGATCCTGGATAAGGGACGGGATAAGAAGACGCCGCGGGGTGAGAACAGACACCGCTACTGAGGCAGCGCGCACGTCGCCAGTGCCTCTGAAACGTTTGCGGTCTACGCACGCTATCGGCGCTTCCCATGCAGCACTCCACAACGTCTCCGCTGCACTTCGCACTGCCCGTCTGCGACGCCAAGCCGCCAATGCCTCTGCCCGAATTCCGCAGGCAAGCTGTCGCTGCTACGCCATGCCTTCTCGCTTGCGGGATGGGCTGTGTGGGGGGAAGGCCAATCGGGTGGGTGGCGGGATCGAACGACATGTCATTCGGGGGCGGCCAAGAAGGGGGTGTCCAAGAGGGGGGGGGCAAATCATGGCCGGCGGCACGTGCGCGGCCCAATAGGGGGGCCAGGGACGTACTGAAATAAGAAGAGGCGCCATGAAATCTGAGGAAAAAGGATGGCCCTCGCCATGAAATCCCCCCCCCCCTAGTCCCTAGTCATCACCCCCCTCTCTGCCGCCCCCGCGTCATGCTGGCGGCGGCCGCACACCTGGCGATGACCCGGGGCGGCCACAGACCACCTGGCACGCCCACCGCTGCCCGCAGCCCGGCACCAGTGTGCAGCCCCCCGTGCGAGCTCTCGTCGCAGGCCATTCCTTCCCGGTGTGAGGTTCCGTCGCAGGCCCTCCGGCGTCGCCGCTCTGTCGTGCCTCATCCCCCCCCCCCTCTCCCTGTCGCCGCCTCGGCACCCCCAATTCGTCCCCGCCTCGCCCCAACGGCCAAGGCCGCTGGGGGGAAAGGCCGCGCCTGGGTACCAAGACCCGCGGCAACCGGGCAAGCAGTAGGCGGAGGAGCGGGAGGGGGAGGAGGCGGAGGATGAGCGAGGAGCGAGACGGAGGAGCGAGGAGCGAGGCGGAGGAGCGACGAGGAGGAAAAGCGAGGAGGCAGAGGAGATGTAGAAGGAGAACGAGGAGTTTCTGCTCCTGCTGTCGCTGCTGTTCCTACTGTTGCTGTTGTTGCTGTTGTTGGTGTTGCTGCTGTTGTGATTGCTGCTGTTGTTGATGCTGTTACTGTTGTTGCTGTTGTTGCAGCTATGTTGTTGTTGCTGTTGGTGCTGTTGCTGAACGTCGGAAAGAGTGCGTTGCTGATATCGCGACAGGGCACCTCCAAAACAACTCAATGCATGCGAGGGGGAAAAATGAGGGAGGAGGAGCGAGAGGGAGGGCCGAGGAGGACGGGGGGGAGTTGAGGAGCGAGAAGGGGAAAGAGGGGAAAGAGAGTGATCCCTTCACACTGCTCGCCGGCCGGCAAAACGACCGACGACGGCCCCCCCCCTTTCCCCAGGTGAGCGAAGGCGCGCGCGAGGCGGGACCCGGCGTGCCCGCCTGCGGTGTGGCGCCGTCCGTGACGCCGAGCACCGTGTAGTGGTCCTGCAGGCTCCCCGCCCCCCCCCGCCTCGTTCCTCGTTCCTCGTGCCTCGTGCCTCGCTCCCCCCTCTCTCGCAGCGGCATCGCCCGTTCCCTGCGCCCCCGCCCGCGAAGCCCGCGCCGCGCGCGGCGCGGCGCTCGGGGCCGAGGCGCGCCATTTTCGAGGGAGGGGGGGAGGGGAGGAAGAGCCATCCAACTCCATCACCAACCATCCTGAGGACGCACGTTATGCTCTACACCACTTGGGCGACGCATCGACCAACGTTTCACGGTGAAACATGCATAGGAGGAGGAACTGGGTAGCCCCAGGATGGCCCTCCGCGGACGCAACAGCGCACAGCCGCTCGAACACGCAATCATCTTCACAGCGTGTCGTAATACCGGGAAGTTTGGGCCCGATCTTGGCACACATTGCCGAACTTTTGCTTTGAGCATTTTCCGTAGATACCCAGACCTGGTTTATTGGTTGCTTTGACCTGGTGCTTGACTGAAGGAGGATGAGAAAGAGGAGGAGGAGCATCGAGGAGGAAGAGAAGGAGGGGGAGGGGGAGGAGAGGGCGGGGGAGAAGGAGGATGAGGAAGAGGAGGAGGAGGAGGAGCAGGAGGAGGGCCAGCGCAAAACCAAGAGTCACCAACGATGTTGGAATAAACCCTCCCCAAAGCTCCTTGCGATCCAAGGTCAAACTGGTTGCTTGACCTGGCGCAGATCTGGGTCGCTCCACTTCGCCATGCCCACCGCTCGACCTGCACGTCAAGAGGGCCCAAGACCCCCTCTCGGCCGTTGCGGGCTGGCCTTGTCACCGGCCCCACGGAACGTACGCGGCTGCCCTCCAATAGCTCTGCCGATGCCTCTCGTGGCTCAGCAGGGGGGCCATGAAGTTCTTCTGGTGGTCCAAGACCGAAAGCCTTCTCTCGATGGCCCGTCTTTGGCGCATCACCCGGCGAAGGAAGGCTCGGCACCTTTCCCATGGACGCCGCTGCGGGCCACGCGCGGGTCGGTCGCTCACTCCCCTATCATTTATTGATAGTCTTCTTTCCTGAAGAATCCCCACACGTCGCCCCTCATACCGGCGGCACTGGGCACGCCGCTACCTCTGTCTCCTGCGGCAGCAGTCCAAAAACCACCATTAACATCTGAATCGGTGACGACGAGGAGACCAGCACCAGTGACCCCCAGGGAGGCTCGACGCCAACTTCTCTCAGCCGTTCAACCGTCGGTCCCGGGTCTACGAGAACGAAGAACCATTGCCGTCAGCCTTGCGCCTTTCGATCTTCCTGCGTCTTTCAGGCTTGCCCACGTTGAACCAGAAGGCTCGAAGCACACCCGAGTTCGCCGAGCCTCGCCGCGCAACCGGGCCCTCATTCCAGAACTGGTGGGATTTCACATGGCTGGGGCCGCAATTAAGACAGCTCGCAGATAGCATGACTTCGCGCGCCCCGCTTGCGGTTCCGGCTTGGTCACTTCCTCCAGCGGCTGCCCAACAACCACCCGTTTCTCTTCGCAATGTGCAGACGCGCCTGGATTATGATTCGCTCTGGCGAGCAACTGCTCTGGTTCGGCCCCCCCTTCCAGCGCTGCGATAAAGCATTGTCTCAGAACCACGGTTCCTCTTTCCTGGCGATCCTCTCGGGGGAAGATCGCAGACGCCCATCTCCGACGAACCCCGCGAAAACTGGCGGCGGAGGGGGCCCGCCGGCCCGCCAACGTCAGACGGACCCCCCCGAATCTGCCACCATCGTCATCGCGCCCCCCCGCCCCCCCGGTCGCCCACGGGCGGCGCGGGGGGAAGGGCGGCGTCCACGGGCGGAGCTACTCCCATAGACCCACGGGAAGGACCCTCATCCACGTGAGAAAATCTCGCTTGGCCAGGGCCTCCTGGCGGGCATTCAACAATGAGAACTTAACAGACCTCGCCTGCGGCAAGGCCCCCATTATTACACCCCGCCTGATCCGACCTCTCAACCACCAGTCGAATCATTGCGCTCGCCCTGCCAGGTCTTCATGTCCACGCACTCCAGCTGCGCCAGCGGCGCGCAGTAGCTCCCAGAGCCACCCCTGCCTCCGGGGAAGGCCAGCGCCCATCGGCAACGCTAGGGCCCCGGACTGGGCGACCCCATCTGCGCGCGCGGCCACGGCGCCGCGCCTCGCGTTCCCGGGCACAGCAACGCCACGAGCAATCTACATCTCTCAGCATGCCAGCGCCAGTTCAGGCGCCCCGCCGGCGCGCATGCACAAACTCCCCCCCGGCGATTTCAGGCCCACCAACAAATTAACATCGCGATTTGAAGACGTGTCGCACGCGCCCGCCGCCGCAAGGAACTGAAAATACCGCCCCCAGATTGCGGCGCGCGCAGTGTCCCCGCAGAGCCCAATCCAAGTATTCACCCGCCGCGCAATAGCGGTCCGCAGCACAGAGCCTTGCCAAACTTCTCCGGATTAGCGCACGGCCTTGGCGTCTTCGAACCCTTGATATTGCATTGCTACTGCTCCCTGAGCGGCTCAGCAAGCTCGCAGGCTTCGCAGTCTGATTTATTCGGAGGGTGGGCAGGCAAGCGCGACAACGAATATGCTTCCACCGCCAATTTCTAAACCCTTATAGACGGCCCCATCGCCAGCTCCATCGAGTTCTCCAGGAGACGACTCGAGCATGTCGGGCCTCTTGGCCCCGTCGTGCCCCTCATCCTCGGCCCTGACCCTGCGCCGAGCCCGAACGGCGCCCCGCCCTCAAAACACGCCAGCTGCGATGCCTGACCACGGAACTCCGCAGAGGCACGGGTTGATAAAGACAAAACAGCAAACGCTTCTGGCGGCGCAGCCACCCAGCCTGACGACGCCGCGACGTCCTGCGCGCAACGGAAGTTCACAATCACACTCACGGGGCCCGATAAGATCGCAGACCCATTCACGGGAACCCAAGCCCCGTCGTCACTCGCGGGGCGCGATCGTCAACTTCGCGTGCAACTCACGGGTTGCGCTGTTCTGGATCGACCGCGGCGGGGGCACCCCGCCCTACTCGGACCCGTCAAAGAAGTCTCGGCGCACGACAGCAGCTGCCGCGTCCACTCGACCCAGCGCCTCTCTGCCCTGGACGGTCAGAGACGCGGTCTTGCCTTCGACAATGAGATAGATTCCCCCCCCATTGCACAGCCCTAAACATGGAGACGTCGAATTCCCTCAGCTACAACTACATCCGAAGCCCCATCGCCCTGTCGCCCGCCGATAACACGCGCGGAGCAACGGGCATCACGATCGACTCGAAGCTTCCGAAAGGAAGCTTGTCGCAGGCGACGCCCACAGCCTCTGCCCCCCGGCTGCGTTCAAGATCATTGGGGTTCCACAGGGATCACGCGCCTTGAAGCACTCAGAGTAGAAACGAACCTCGCGGCAACTAGATTGTAGCCGCAGACTGCGTCAACGGAAAGCCCCATCGGCCCGAGGCCCACCAGGCCTTTCGACCCAGGGGCCGCAGCGCCAATTTCCCATTCGGCCCAAAGGTTGCACACCTCACGTTCTAATTCGAATGCTCGAAACAAAACAATTTGCGCAGCCACGCGGCCCCCGCGCAGCCGCCGCTCCCGACTCGAGCCAGGGAGATGGCATCGCATCACTCGCCAGGGAAGCCTGTTCGCCTTAGAGAAACGACGACGCGTTGGAGCCGAATGACGAAAGCCAGCTACGGCCTGAATTTTAAACCCGGCTGGAAGTCCAGGTCTGGTCAACACCGCGAACCTCGGAAAGGCCCCCCGAAGGTTGCAGGGGCACCGACGCGGGTCGGCAGGCCGCCTCGGCCCCCCCCCCGCCCCCCCGAGGGGGGCAGGCCCTGATAATCTTCGGGCGCTGCATGTCAATCCGGCGCCGCAGCCCCCCAGCAGATGCGGCGCGCGTCTCGTCGCCAGGACCCACACATGCCCCGCGTCGCCGCTGGCCCCACGGAGGCCACAGGGACTGCGTCTACCGCGTAAAACTCGACGAGATGCTCGCGTTCACGCCCTCTACGGGCACCACGCAAACTCGCGGCTCGACCCCGAATCCGGCCGAACCCCGACATGAACCACGCAGCGACGAGCACGCTCGGACCGCCTGCGGCATCAAGCGCAGCACCGGGGAAAGCACCGCCACAGGCTGCGCCCAAACGTCAAGGGCGCCCCAGGGTGAAGCACGGAAGCAACGCTTGCCTCCACCGGGGCGGGCCCCCCCCCAGGCGACGCCAGGCGACGCCAGCGCGCTCGCTCGCCCTCGCCGCTCTTGCCGCCCCGGCCCTTGCCACCCCGCCCCCCCGCCCCATCAATCAATCCTTCACGCGCGCAATTACTGGCGCTACGTTCGGCCGCCGTCTCTTGAACTTCGGCGCGGGCACGCGGCGGGAACGCGCGCTGGCCGACCCGGGGTTCCCCCACATATCACGAGCGAAATTTTCTGCGCCAGTCAAGCCACTGCGACATTATCCACCGCGCGTTCCCTCGCGCGCCCCACGGCTACACCGCCGAAACGGGACAAGCTTCATCTCCTCGCCCCCCGCGGACGATGCGCGGGTCGCAGTAGATCCCCGGGAGTTCCTGGCACCTAAGGGCGCAGGGGACGTCGCCCTTGACGACTCTCCACCTCTAGCGCCAGGTGTAGCCTCGCGACCGCGACCTCCGGGCCCCCTGCCAGGCCGCCCATGTTGATCCGCGCCCCTTTATCCCCCGCCGCCGGCGCCCCCGCCCCTCGGGGCGCGCTCTTCTCCATGCCCACCGGCTGCCAAGTCGCGCTTGATCGCGCAATTCTGCCCGCCGCCGCAATTGCCCGCTGCCGGATTCCAGCACGGGATCTGCCCCTGCCCCGTCGGAACCCCGCCCCCCACCTGCAGGCTAACCTGGTCGCCCTGGGACGGCGCAGGCACGGCCGCTTCAGCGGCGCCGCGAATCTCGCTGACCCTCGCCCCCCCGCCCCCCTTTCAGTCGCCTTCCTTTCGCGCGCCCCTCGATGCGTTGCCCGTCCTGTCGCAGGCCGATTGCGCGGC